TCGCGGATTAATCACCCACGTGCCCACCCCTGTGTGGTCAATTTGATGCATGATTGATGGGTCACTGCTACTATCAAGAGCTTTCTTTTTTTTTCTTTTCTTTCTTTTACATAGAATTCCACTCACATCATGAGCCACCTCTCCCATCGTCACTCATCAGAGCACCAATTGTGAGCTCCTGTAGAAATTAAGAAAAAGAACATACGTCAAATACCAATTCGTAGCATCTCTTACACTCTGTTTCTTTCACTATGTTTGGGAAGGGGTGTAAATGGAAGGGGGTGCAAGTTTGGAGGGGTAAACACAAGTTCCAAGGTGTTTACCCCCGTTTGGTTTTTTGTAACAGTAGGGGGGTGCAAAACGTGAGCGTAAATTCACTGTTTCGGCTTACCCCAAATTTGATGCATGATTGATGGGTCACTGCTACTATCAAGAGCTTTCTTTTTTTTTTCTTTTCTTTCTTTTACATAGAATTCCACTCACATCATGAGCCACCTCTCCCATCGTCACTCGTCAGAGCACCAATTGTGAGCTCCTGTAGAAATTAAGAAAAAGAACATACGTCAAATACCAATTCGTAGCATCTCTTACACTCTGTTTCTTTCACTATGTTTGGGAAGGGGTGTAAATGGAAGGGGGTGCAAGTTTGGAGGGGTAAACACAAGTTCCAAGGTGTTTACCCCCGTTTGGTTATTTTGTAACAGTAGGGGGGTGCAAAACGTGAGCGTAAATTCACTGTTTCGGCTTACCCCCCAAATTGGGGTGCAAGGGAAGGAAGGAAGGGAGGGGGAAGGGGGAGGAGGGGAATTATGAATTTTTAATTAGACTATAATTACATAATAATTAATATTATTAATTTTTCTTATATCTATATTAGTGTAGAAGTTGTTTGGGGTTGACCGTTTGACTCAGAGAGCAAGTTTGTCAATGTTCGCCTCGTCAAATCGATATCTCTTAGTTGACCCGAATTTGCATTGAAAATTAGAGATAAGAAGCATTTGTTGAAAAGATAGAGAGGAACAGTTTAGTTAACTCGATTTACTTTAATAAGTAGTTAAAACTTACAGATTCGAACGTGTTTGACTAAGTTTGACCATATTCAATTTAAAGTTAGGCACGAGAACCCCCTTAGGATGACCAGTTACGAGTTGGATTTCGAGTTTCGAGGTTGCTCGACCAATGATTATTATTGTTGTTATAAATAATTATATTTGAGCATTATTATATAATAATTATTTTTATTAAAAATTTTTATTTATTATTTTTATTATTATATATTGAATTTTCATGTTTGTGATAATATTTTATAAATTGATAAATCTATTTTATAATAATATAATTACTTACTTTTTACTCTATTTGCACCCCCCTACTTTTTCATCCAAACAACAATTTACCCCTCCACTTACACCCTCCACCAAGTTGCACCCCCCAACAATTTACCCCTCAACTTGTACCCCCCTCGAACTTGCACCCCCCTTGTTGCCAAACATAGTATTTAGGAATGAAAGGGAGGGAAAGGGGAAAAGTGGGAGGAAAGCACATGCCCCAAGAAGTTTTCCTTTGTTTTTGAAGGTTGCTACAGGAGGAAGGGGAAGGAATTGGAGGGAAAGGTTTACTATTACACTCATCCCTCCAATTTGGAGAGAAAGCAAGGGAAAGAGGGAATGTGTTGGGTATTTGGGTGTTTCTAATAATAATAATAGTATATTATTAAATTAACATGATTAAAATCATAATCATTAAAATATTGTATGAGTAAGTTACGTATAAAATATGTACGAGTGTTTTACTTTGGTTTTTAACTAATAATAAACTTAATAATACGTCAATAATTATGAAATTATATAATCGTACCGTACGAGTGGTTCTACAAGATCGTACCTGACCAAACCGACGTTTGGACCTGATGACATCAAATTGAGTATAATATGTTTCGGTACTTGATCACATAAATTTTATAGGATGATTGTCATATTGTACGACAAAAGTAATCCAAATTTTATGGATTTTTTTTAATTAAGTTAAAATGAATTAGATTTTAAATTGAATTTTTTTAATAGTGAACCAAATTAGACAAAAAGAATAGATTAAATTCATTATTCAGAAGCAATGAAAATGATATTAAGAAATAATTAAATTAATTTACTATTACATAATCAATAAAATAACATATCTATCACACTTCCCAATATACTTTTCTCTCTCACCTTTCCTTTCACTTTCATCCATAAAACAACATTTTCCCTCCCCTCCACTTTTCCTTTCCCTCCATTTCTCTCCCCTCCAAATTTTCTTTCCCCTCTATTTTCCTCCCTTCCTTCGGAAACAGAGTGTTACACTCAGTTCCGAAGGAAGGAGGAAATGGAAAGGGAGGGGAAGGAAATTAGGAGTGGAGGGACAATTTGGAAATTAAGAAATTTGCAAGGAAATTAGTGTTTTATGGAGTAAAGTGGGAAGGAAAATGTGTATTAGGAATTGTGATAAATGTATTATTTTATTGCGTTTATAGTTTTAAAATAATTTGATTATATGTTGATATTATTTTCATTGGTTATTAATTGTGAATTAAATTTGTACTTACTTGCTTATGAATGCGCGTGTAAAACAATTTTGTGTTACATTCATAATTAAAAAGTATTGTATTTATTCTCTTATTTTTATTTGGTTATTGCTACTTTGATTTTAATTGGCAACCAATTTGTTAATATTTTAGCTACAAAAATATAATTGTTCCTTAATTTTAAATCTCGTACATTTTAACGATGTTAATTTTTTTCATGCAAATTGGATTACCTCTGCTGTATAAGATGACATTCATTCCTCAGCCCTGTATAATGAACTTTTCAGTTTGGAATAAATCGTTTGTTTTCAGGCATCTATGGGCGATACTTGCAGCAGAAGGTTCTTTGTGGGTTGCTTGGATCGCACGGTATCGGATTAAGCAGGGCTCTGTGTGGGATCTAAAGGTAACAGCTGCTGGGACTTGGATTTGGAAGAGAATTCTCAAGTGCAGGGACTTGGCGAGGCCTTTTGTCTCTATCATGGGTTCTGACGTGCAGTGGAATGGAGAGGTAATGAATCATTACTCTGTAGCAAGGGTTTGGGATTCATTAACACAGCGTGATAGTGAGGTTTCCTGGTATAAGTTGGTATGGGACAAGAGCATTATTCCTCGGCATGGCTTTATCTTATGGTTAGTGATCAATGATCGTTTAAAACAACACAATAAGCTCATTGTTTGGGGAAAACAGGTTTATGCTGTGTGTATGTTGTGTCCTGGGGGAGTGGAAGATCGGTAGCATTTATTTGATGCTTGTCCTTATATCCAATGCTTAAACAATGATATTTTGAAGAGGGCATCTCCCCCTGTTCTTGATAACTGGCAAGCTGTTTTGCAGTGGTGCATTAGGGAGTGGAGTGGAGATTCGCCTGCTGTTATCTTGAATAGAATGAGTTGGAGTGTTGTGGTCAGCCTTGTTTAGTGTGAAAGGTGCTCAAGGTTATATGGATCTGTGGCAGCAAATAGCCCCTCTCAGCTGATGCTTGATGCTCGAAGGATCATTAGGAGTCGTTGTTTCCTAAATCAGTGCTTACTTGATTGTTTCGCAGCTAAGGGACTTGGGGTAGAGTTTTAGTAGTTTTATTTGGGTTCCTCTTTGATGTTTGATGTACAAAACTGTTTGTACTAAATGGCTCCTAAGCGTTTTTTTGCTATTGGTGTCGGAAGGGGTGGAAATTGGGGTGGGTGTGGTTACCCGCCCCACATTTTGTGTGTACCCACACCCATAAATTTATAATTATGCTACCGACAACCCGCGCCACAGTGGTTAGTGGGTAACCACTACCCACTGTGGGTTTGTGCGGGTTGGGTGTGGTTACCTGCAAAAATCCATCTTTGCAAGCATAGAGTTCTAGTCGCCACTAACGTATTTGTTGTTCGTAACTAGACTATAGTGATATACACTTGTGTTGTTCGTGGAGATACAATTTTGTACATCGATCTTACTCAACGTGAAGATTTTTTCTTTTTGAGTTTGGTATTCAACTTTTGTGTCAGAGAGTTGTGATTTCATATTTCCCCGAGTAGGGGTGAAATATGACAATTAAATATGATCTTGTATTTTTTTCACACAAAAACAAAAACATACTGATAAAAGTTACAAAAAGGTGTTCAGTTTTAATAAATTGATTACTCTCCACTCTATCGAAATGTGTGTCTTTTTTATTTGGTGGCTACTTTAATTTTTATCCTCACACTTTTCACATACTATTATATTATAAAGTTAATTCACTAAATAAATATAATTAGTGTGGTTATTGTGGATTTTGTGGGTTACCACGGTGGGTAGTGGATAACCACTAACCACAAAAATCGTTATTTTACTACCCACACCCAACCCACTACCCACAAAAATCATTATTTTACTACCCACACCCAACCCACTACCCACAACTTGTGTGTATGGTTACCCACAATAGGTGCGATTTGCGGATTATCCACAACCCGCAACCCAAACTTCCACCCCTAGGTGTCGGTGCTTAATACTATTTGATTTAACCATAAAAAAAGGAGGCAACATAATTCCTTATCCCATTCAACCTCTCGTCCACTTTACTCAGCTCTGCTCTTCCATAGTATCATTTTTGTTTTAATTAAAAAGAAATTTGAAAAATAAAATCAATCAATCAAATATTAAACTCCACTCTCTCCCCCCGATTCTTCTTCTCCAATGTCTTCGCCGCTTGCTCTCCCCCACTCCTCCCTATTTCCCCAACTACGTTGCCTCCGCTGCCACCACATCTAAAACCCTAGCTCCGCAGAGTACCGGTGGCGCGTTCTGGCCTCGTGAGTCACTCGCATCACTGAATCCGCCGGTGGCCCCGTCCTCAGCCTAATCAACAAACGCCTGGGCGCCCTCTCCAAGAAATACAACTCGAGAAGCTCCGCTAACCTTTCTCGATCGTCGTCTCCGAGGAAATTGAGCTTGTAGATCTCCATGATCGAGGGCAAAGAAGAAGAAGATGAGGGGAGTCAGCCCGAAAGTTTCGATTCCATGGTTGGGGATCTCTTGAGTTTGTTGTACTTTGCTGCACTATTCGACGTGAAGTTGCATAACGATTTCACGGGGACGATGTTGAGCCGGACCCAAGGTGGCGGAGCAGATGAACGATTTGAAGGGGACGGCAGCGCTGGGAGGAGAGATTAGTTGGCCATTTTTAATTATTTTTTTAATTTCTAATGTGAACGCTAACTGGACGCTGACGTGGAGATCCTTTAGCAAATAATTAACGGTCACATAATGAATGCCCAAACTTTGATTAGTTACAATACGTTTGATTAATAAATAGTATTTCAATATGTTTAAATAAAATAAAAGGATCTAGAAAATGTTTGGGTAATAAATTGACATTACCATTAATACAATTACAAAACTAATTATATATGTTGCCTTTATTGCCACCAAAATAGTGATGGCAATGGGTCGGGGCGGAGCGGGTACCTCAATACCCATGCCCCGTCCCACGCTAGTACGGGTCGGGTCGGGTAATACTCGCGCGGGTACGGGGCGGGGCGGGTCGACCCACTCTTACATGCTATTTGAGAAAAATACACACACAATTTTACTTTTTATGATAAAACGAAGGGGGAAAACACTTGATGAATGAATAATAGTGATAATATAATAAGTAATTGAGTCTATTTAGTTGAAAGATCAAGTCTAACTAGTTGAATAAAAACCAAAATAGGACATTTATGAATGGATGGAGTAAAAAATTGACCTAGAACGGGCTAAGAATGGGGCGGGTCGGGGCAGAGCGGTGCGGAAGTTGATACCCATGCCCCGCCCCATGCTAATGCGGGTCGCGTAATACCTACCCCATTGCAGGTCAGATCGGGTATTACCCGGCAGGGCGGGTTCAAATTGCCATCCCTACACCAAAACAATTTCTCTAATACAACTAATGTAAATTTCATTGCAACTGTATCAATACAAATCACTTACAGTTGCATACGTGTTTAAATTATGGCAAATGAAAAGAAAAAAAGGAGAAAAGGTAAAAGAAAGTTGAAAAAACCACATTTTTGCCACTTTAAAATTTATATGCAATTGCATTTGTTGCAAAAATGTCACATTAACAATTAGTTTTGTTTTTGTTATTCAAAATACAATACAATGTAGATGGCGAAGTCCTGACATATGAAGTCCCGACATGTTATTTTGCTATTAAAGAATAAAGACAGACTTATATTTTTAATAACATTGTTATAATATAATCGAACAATCGATCTTACCGATAAAATCGATAGTCGGTCATTAGATAAGTTTAGATTAGTCATTCAACTACTTGTATTATTATTGAATAATTTTCATTTTTGTGAAATAATAGGCTTCTATTAGCAATGTAATTAAGGTTATATAATAATGGTTTAATATTTTTATGGATATTCTACTTTTAATATTTTTATTTATGGTGCACCGATTCATTAACAACCTCTTAATTGTTTAATGCTAATAAACCAATAAAGTATAAACGTTCTACAATACCAATTTCTACTCTGATTCGATTCTTACAACTTTGAGTTTTAGCATAACCCATTGAGTTATCCTCCTCAACCCGACTCATCTAATTAGTGGCGGAGGCAGAATATGAAAGTACCTGTGTCCTCTTTTCATAATATAAAATAAATAAATATGTAATAAATATAATTAAAATTAATAATATCTAAATAATTTATTCATATATATTAAAGAAATACTAGACTAATACAATCATTATTTTCATAAGCAATCACGACGCATTTTCAAATTCTCAATGTATACGACTAAGCAATCATTAGCAAATTGGTCGCAATTCGACTTTGAAACTTGTTTTTAATATAGCTCAAAGCTGAATTGTTCTGTCTACACTTGCAATTGCAACGGGTAGAGTCAATAATAACTTTAGAAGACAAAGAGATCGACCTTTTGGTATTTTGAATTTTTTTTATAGTATGATATATTGATTTATGTTAGCTTTTAAACTTGAAATAACTTGTAGTGTAGTGGTGATAAAATACTTTCATATTACCTAAAGTTGATGAGTGCAATTCTTAATTGATACATATATATGCGGTATTTTATTTTACCCAAAAATGACCTGTATCACAGGACACATCCCATGCCCCAGCTCCGCCTATGCATCTAATCAACCAACTTTAAAATCAAACCACATTGTTTGTTGAGACAATATGGTGGAAACTGTTGTGTCCTATTACTGAAACCACATAGGGTTTATATAGAGTACAAAGACTGACTTCTATAATAACCCTATTACTAATACAGAAATAACCTAACTTCTATGACTCTGATAAGGAATATAACTCTGTCGAACTACACAATAGTACTCGTAGTATAACATAATACTACTCGTACTACCTATACTCTAATACCCTCCCCCAAATTGATGGTAATTACTTACCAACAATTTGAAAATTGAGACAAAACGAACACAAAAAGAAAAAAAGAAAAAACTATAACAAAGACACTGATAACTACTACCAATCCCAAACTCCACGTCGATGTCAAAGAAAACCACTCCTCACAAAGACGTTGATGGTGATGAACTGGATGTAACGAGATCTCTTGCCAAAACTGCCTTCTCATACGTGTCCTCCATAGATGCTTCAGAAATTCACTATCATGAAAACAAACCAAAGATGCTCCGAATAGCATCGTCGAACCAAGAAAACCAAAACCAAAACCATGTATGCTCCGGACAGCAACACGGCTATCAAGATGCTCCGAAGAGCATCATCGAAACGGAAACAGAACCACGTGCTCCGAACAGCAACATGGCGATCAGGTTGCTCTGAATAGCATCATCGAAACGGAGAAACATACCAAACATGCTCCAGACAGCATTTATCAAACAGAGATGTTCCGTACAACATCTTTAACTAAGGTGTTCCGAACAACACCGTAAAACAGAACGATAGCAAGATTCCAAATTTCTTGAAGGACAAGTCACGAAGGCAGATCGGGAGAGTCTTGCTGAATTTCTTGAAGGACAAGTCACGAAGGCAGATCGGGAGAGACTTACTGACGGAAACACCAAAAGGAGGAAGTTGCTGGATTATTGGCGAATCCTTTCTTCCCAAGCCGAATATGCAACAGAAGCAGCATTGAGTTCTTTCATTCACCGACAAGAACAATGGGAACTTGATAAATCAACCAAACTCCAGGACAATGGAAGGCGGAAACAGTTACACATGGTCTCTACAACTCGAGGCGGATATGGTATTTTGGCTGCAAAAAAAAGTTGACACGACAAAACCATGGATTTTGTTTTATTTCCGAATGAAGCTAACAAAGGAAGAGAAGTACTAATGATAATTGGAGCAGCAAAGTAAGCAGGGAACGGAAAGAACTAAATTCCGGGCGATTTGGGACTCATGGTGGGTGGCGGACGGAGAAGAAAGCTTAGGGTTTTTCGATTAGGTTTTTGAACCAGGCTCTGATACCATGTTGAGAAATCGCAATATGGTGGAAACTGTTGTGGCCTATTACTGAAACCACATAGGGGTTATATAGAGTACAAAGACTGACTTCTATAATAACCCTATTACTAATACAGAAATAACCTAACTTCTATGACTCTGATAAGGAATATAACTCTGTCGAACTACACAATAATACTCGTAGTATAACATAATACTACTCGTACTACCTATACTCTAATATTGTTAATTAGAACTTCAAAGTATCAGAAATAAATCAACATAAAAACAAAGGATACAAATATGCCGACCTCAATGTGAAAAAGAAGACCACGTACATAAGTCATAATTAACGAGACATATGTATCATGAGCACAACAATTAAGTAGCCATTTCCCAGAAACAACAAACAGGAAAACGACAATATTTGGTTCCCATCACTTGGCTCAGAATCTCTGACCACTACCCACTCATTACGTATAAATATCACACTCGCAGCAACTCGCAACTTTGAGTAGTAAACAAACAAACAAACATCCTCAACACCGAACAGTAGTAGCCGTAGCCGTAACTAATGATTCCACAACGTCCAATCGTACCCACCATTACCCTCGCAGTCGCAGCTCTCCTCCACGCCGCCCCGCCCGGCTCCATATCCATAGCTCGGCGGCGGAGACAGCAGCGGCCCTTCCGCCATTTCCGACAGCAACCTCGGCATCTCCAGCTCCTCCTCCTCCTCGGCCTCCACGTTACCCAATACAATATTAGTGTCGTTGCTGCGATCATCACCATTGTCCTTACATTCCTCTTCCTGTTCCTGTTCCGGCACCGTGGCAGTTCCGCCGGGGCGGAACATCTCAGCGGCCTCCGCCGCCACCCTCCTGATGTCGTCTTGATCGGCGGAGGCAGGAACGGGGAGGCGCCAGGCGGAGTCGGCGAAGTTGAGACAGGCGGACTTCCCGCGGTACGCCAGTGCCGCCACGTCGTGAGCTCGGGCCGCCATTTCCGGGGTGGCGTGAGTTCCGAGCCAGACACGTGTCCCGGTGTTGGGCTCGCGGAGCTCGCAGACCCACTTGCCGCCTTTCCGGCTCCGCACGCCTCTGTACACCGGGTGGCGCGTCTCGCTGAAGACTCTCCTCCCAGTCCGCTTCTTCGGCACCTCCGCCGCCAGCTTGTGCAGCTGCTGCTGATTCTCCGACGATGTCGTGCCGCTGCCGTTGGACACGGAGGACTCGGAGATCTGGAGCTGTTGACTGCTGGAGACCATATCCGAATATTAGCTATGGATCAGTTGATTCTCTGTTTTCCGCCGGTCCTTCCATATATGGTCACTAAAGTAGAGTGGGCTCAATTACGTATATGGTCACTGAAGTTTTGTGCCTCACTTAGAAATCCACCACTCAAACTAATTCCATCTGTATAAAGAAAAAGGTTCAAACGCAAAATTGTTATTGCAGATCTAAATTTGCAACAATGAAGTTATTCTTAATTTTGAAAACTTCGGTTGATGGCTTCTAATTAATGCTTTTTCGTTTTACCATTAACATCATCAAGGACCTGAAACTATTGCGAGACGATACATTTGGCATAGGAACTCACTTTACACAAAGGATTTCAAGGATGATAAAAATTGCAGCTAAATTCTACTGATTGTGATGCTTTGGTAGATAAAATTACTGCAAGGATAAGGGGCTGGAAGGTTAGGATACTATCCTATCCTGGCAAATTGTAGCTAATCACTGCTGTTATTTCCAGCATTACACAATACTGGATGGGCATTATCCAGCTCCCAGTCAAGGTAATTAAGAGGATTGAGAAGGTCTGCTCTGATTTCTTATGGAGCATTGAGGAGGATGGTAAGAAAGCCACCTAAGGAGGAGCTAGACCTAAGAAGGAGGGTGGACTGGGTTTTAAGGACCTAAGGAGCTAGAACACGACTTGCCCTTATCAGACACCTATGGACTATCTCTTCAAACTCTTCCTCTTTGCGGGCTAACTTGGTAAGACACTATCAGCTCAGTTATACTTCAATATGGGATATACCCTATACAATACCTTGCTCTTGGGCTTGGAGGAAGGTGCTGAAGACCAGACCACTTGCTGAACAACATCCCAATGTCAGATCGAGAGTAGTGTACTGGGACGATGGTATCATGACTAGATTTTCTGTCAAGAAGGTTTGGAAATCTCTCGGAGCTAGAAATGAGAAGGTAAAGTGGTACTCACTTGTATGGAAATCCTATGAGACGCCTAGGTACAAATTGCTTGTCTGGTTGGTTATTCTTAACAGGCTTGCAACTCTAGACAAAGTGCAGAAGTGGAACCCATTAATCACTAATATCTGTCCTCTCTGCTCTTCTACTGTAGAGTCTAGGGACTATCTATTCTTTGAGTATTTTTACTCTAGAAATATTATCCAAACAGTTTTCCAGTCACAAAATCTAGTAGGAGCTAGTTGGGAAGCGTCGATGGAGCTTGTTGTCTCACAGTTCCAAGTCAGCAATCTTGCTTCTGATCGTGGCAGATTACTTTGGGTTATTCTTGTTTCTGAACTTTGGAGGGAAAGATGTAGACGCGTAATGCCAGGAGAGCATCTGACTGAGAATTAGTTTCTAAGGAAGTTGCAGAGTATGCAAGGTCAAGCGTTCCGAGTCTCTCGTTCGTTGGAGGCACTAGCTCTATGGCACGCTCGGCTGGGTCATCTGACTGCAGATAAATTTAGTCATTTGCAAAATATTGTCAGTTGTAATACTCCATCTTCATACTCTTCTCATTGTGATTACCGTTTGCGGGCTAAAAAATCTCGCACACCTTTTCCTATTAGCACAATAAGAACGAGTGGATGTTTTAATCTTATTCATTCTGACCATCGTGGATGATTTTAGTCGTTCGACCTGGGTTTACTTGATGAATTTTAAATCCGACGTTGAGCGTTATCTCCTTTTGTATTGTCAGCTCGTTTGCACTCAGTATGGTAGGCAGGTTTGTCATATACAGGCAGACAATGGTTTGGAGTTTCAAACTCGTGTCTTATGGGAGTAATATGAGGAGCACAGAATCATTCTGCAGACTACATGTACACTCCCCAACAGAATGAGGTGGTGGAGTGAAAGCATCGGCATCTCTTGGAGATTGCTCGAGCGCTCATGTTTCATGTCGGGTTACCTGTTCGTTTCTGGGGTGAGTGTGTCTTGACTGCCACTTAATCAATCGGATGCCTTCCACGGTGCTGGATTGGAAGACCCCCTTCGAAGTTCTCTTGGAAAAGGTGCCTACTTACACTCATCTCCGTACCTTTGGTTGCCTCGTGTATATCATGAACACACACCATGGGCTCGATAAGTTCGCCGAATGTGGAAGAGCAGGAATTTTTGTGGGTTATCCCGACACTCAGAAAGGATATCGGGTCTACGATCTTCATAGTCGGAAGATTTTGGTTTCGAGAGACGTTCACTTCGTTGGGTACGTTTTTCCTTTCGTCCTCAAGGCAGTTGGGCAAGCTCTTCTGCCATTTCCCATCTCTCTCATCCCTACCTCCTTTGTTGGCGGACGAGGATCCAGCTGATCACATGGTCACTTCCGCCTCATCATCTCCTCGTGCTGACATCAACTCCACGTGCATGAGACTTCCCCTTTGGAAAATTCCCCTCCTGTTACAACTCTTGACACAGACGAACTGATGGAGTCTGAAGTGGATTCGGCGATTGAGCATCAGCCTGATCTATCAGATACCTCCTCGTCACGTGTTTTTCCCCATCGTAATCTGTCCCCCCAGTATAAGCTACCACCTCGATTTGACGGCTTTGAGGTAACTTTGCCCAACTCCTCTTCTACGAATGTCCAGTTTCATATATCTAACCACGTCACCTATCATCGAATTTCTCATTGATATTCTACTTTTTTGGCCGCCTTGTCTCACATTTACAAACCGCGCACCTATGCCCAGCGATTCGGTTTGAGCAATGGCGCGCAGCAATGCAACGAGAAATCCAGGCTTTGGAGATTCATGATACGTGGACTTTGGAGTATTTACCTCCTGGGAAGCGAGCTATTGTCTCGAAATGGGTGTACAAAGTGAAGTTCAACCCGGATGGCACGGTCGATCGCTATAAGACTCGATTAGTCGCCAAGGGCTTCACTCAACTCGAAGGGATTGACTTCCATGACACCTTTGCTCTCGTGGCTAAGTTGATCACCGTTCGCGTTCTTCTAGTCGTTGCACCTAAGAAGAATTGATCGTTACATCAGTTGGTTGTGAATAACGCATTCCTCCACGATGACTTAGACGAGGAGGTCTATATGAAGGTGCCGCAAGGTTTGCAAAGCTCGGTGATACTCGCGCTTGCAAGCTTCGTAAGTCCCGTTATGGTCTTCGTCAAGCATCATGGAGCTGGTACACTAAGTTCATCGAGGCCTTGTTCGAGTTCGGCTTCACCGTCTCCAAAGGTGATCACTCACTGTTCCCCTTTCAAGCACAAAATATCTTTGTCGCCATCCTCATATATGTCAACGTTGTTGTGCTGACTGGGAATGATGCAGCGACTATTGCCCGGGTTAAGGAGTTTCTACATCGCCGGGTCAGCATCAAGGACTTGGGAGTTCTCAAATACTTTCTCGGGATAGAAGTTGCACGCTCTCCTAATTGTATTGTTCTTAGTCAACGGAAGTACACTCTCGATATACTTGCATATTCGAGTATGACTACAGCTCGACCCAGTGCATTTCCTATGGACCAAAACCATAATCTGACACGCCTGACTGAGGAGCGTGTGGATGACATGAGCTCCTATCAACGCCTTGTAGGCCGCCTCCTGTACCTCACTATCAATCGATCGAATATTGCATACTCCGTCAACTTGCTCAGCCAATTCGTTCATTCGCCCTCTCCTGATAACATGGTCGCGGCTCACCGGGTACTGCGATACTTGAAGACTGCCCTGGGACAGGGTCTGTTCCTTCCTGATGCTGGCTCCTTTGATCTCACTGCATATAGCGACGCAGACTAGGCCGGTTGTCAGTTCAGTCGACGCTCCACTACGGGCTACTACATTGAGCTGGGCGGAGCCTTGGTCTCCTGGCGTGCCAAGAAGCAGCGTGTGGTTGCTCACTCTTTTGCGGAGGCGGAGTATCGTGCTATGGCCATCACAACCAATGAAGTTCTTTGGCTTTGTTTCCTCCACCACGAGTTGCAGGTACCGCAACATGCCCTGACTCCGCTTTACTGTGATAATCAGGCAGCCCTTCACATTACTGCTAATCTGGTGTTCCATGAGCGGACTAAGCACGTGGAGATGGACTGCTACTTCATCCGAGAGGGTTGGCACTCTCTCGCAGTTTGCATACATTTTCACGAAGGCTTTGGGCACTGACCAGTTTCACGCACTCTTGTCCAAGTTTGGCATTCGTGACCTTCATGCTTCAGCTTGAGGGGGAGTGTTAACCATATTTGTACAAGTTTTATTTATTGTGTACTTTCTTATAATTAACCTTATACTCGTGATTAATGTTGAGGACATAAAGGTGTGTTTACGCCGAACCTCTAACCCTAAGAGGGTTGTGCGGCAGAGAACACAAAACAATCCTCATCACTAGTGATCATCATCGAGCTTCATGCTCACCACCATGGACTAGTCCCGACATTCGGGAAAACCACGTAAATCCTGTGTCTCTTCTATTTTTTGCGTTTATTCTTGTTTACAAAATATCTAAACGATATTACACAACACAATAACCAATAATAACAGTCCAAAAATATTCTTTGTTCTCCACCTTTAGAAGTACATGGTCAATGTGTAATGTGGTTAGAAAATATGACGACTATTCGATAGTATAAGAATCAACATTTTGTCATGTGAAAATATGATGCGGATCATTTAGGTGAGTCGCAATCCATCCACCACTCACCAACATAAGAGTGAGTAGGAGATCTATCAATCCGCAATCTACCCACATCAATCACCCATTACTTGTGATTCGAATTATTTGAGGGTGGATCGATATTAACCCGCGAATTAACCACCCAAGTGCCGACGCGTAAGATTATTCACGAAACATGAGAAAGATGGACGTATAGACAAACATATTAGTTGTTAATTTCCATGTTGAGGAGCAAAGTGCTAGAAATTTAAACACATTGACCTATTCGTTACTAAATAGAAGCTTTAGTGGTCATTTATGTAATTGGCTCGTCACCCGTGAAACATATATAGGCTTGACGTGGGGAAAGCTGGCAAATGAGGAAAGAAAAGAGCACGAAACAAAAGCTTACAGATCATAAATATCAACCCATTTAGAGGAAACAAAAGTTGCTTCCTAGTTTTGGTGCGGTGGGTCAGTTACTCAGTGCTGGGAAGCACCAAAGCTCTCGATCTTGTTGCTTTTTTAGTCATAA